TGAAGCTTTCGATAAAACGAACTGCCGATGAAACGTCGCAGTGTCGACGAAGCAATCTGCCGATTAAACGTCGCTCAACAAACGTATTGCTACAGGCTCCCCAACCTGCCCGCACTGTTCTATTCAGCAACAAGGGCTCTATTTCTAAATGAAGCGTCTCCAGAGGCTGGACCTAACTTTATGACAAGTCAATCAATTATCTTTTTTTCTAATACATTACTCTGCATGGCTCATTTTTAAAGAAAGCCGCCTCATTCAAAGAACGCGCAGCACATCGACAGTGTATATACATTTACATCTTATTTTATCGCATTGAAATTTACCTTTGTCTCTCGAGTTTCCGCGCTCATGCGTGGAACGACGAAAATCTGGGTTCGGGGTCCGCGAGGAAATCGGTTGAGTCGCAGTGATCAAACTCGGGCACGCACGACAGCGCCAGACCTTCCTCTTGAACTTCAAGACTCGGGAGACACCACAAAAGTCGCATCTTACTAAAGCACGGAACCCACCTGCAGAATTACATGACAACAAATAGAATAAAACACCAAAATAAGCCATGAAACATTTTCCCTGCGTTTTTTGTTCTTTATTTCTTGTTCGTTCTCTTTTTTTGGAAGGGTGGGGGGTTTTGCTTTTATGTGCGTTTTGCGTGGCTGTCTCGGATGGACCAACAGCTCGAGAGGTGAAGGCGAAAGGCCGAGAGCAATTTAAATCGGCTCTCGCGGACCGGCAAATCTCTTTTCAAAGAGGGGATTTGATATAAAGGAGATTTTTGAAGGGAGTGACACCGGAATGCAGTCAAACCCTGCCCTGGGAATCTTCTCTCTTCGCCGCGGCGCAAACTGGGTCGAAGAGCGAAGCGCCCATTGTGCACCCTTCACCAGTCTAAAACTCCATTCACCCCCCAGCTGACAGCGCGGACGAGGCTACGTGCTCCTTAGACCAGTTATCTCCCCCACGTGAAACCACGCTCGACCCTTACCCGCCAACGCCACCTACTCAATGTAACGCTAAAAAAAAAAAAAAAAAAAGAGGACGTTTTCCGCATTGTTTTTGAGCTGCGCGAAGTAGTTCTTGTGAGATTTGGTTGCCGAAGGAAAGAAACGATGCTTTTAGCGCTTGAAACATGTTCATCTTGTTAAAATAACGTAACTCGAATCTAACATGCACGTACAGATACCTTAATTGAGCGCATGAAAGAGAAAATTAGTAGCGTACCGCACACAACAAAACTGTTTCGTTCTTTTTGTTTTACGATGTTTTGAGGTGAATACGCGTATATAGTGATCAAAGGCCAGTGGGTCAGAATTTCGGTGTTATCACGGGAATCGGAGCGCAGATACGCTTTTCACACGATTGCTTCATCAGCGTTAGGCTGGGCGTCGTGTCCAATCAATGCGTCCAAAAACGCTGGACGTCGGGCACCGGTTCAATCGCTGAGTTTGCGCCATCTTATGATCACTGACAGCATCAAGAGACACTGAAATAAAAATGTGAAAAAGAAACATTTTGTAATTGCCTAAGTGAGACAATTTTTTTCTGTAATATTTTCCACGAGAAGAAATAATTCAGCGACATTTACGCCGTTACAGGATATTTAGAGGAAAGGAGGCGGGGGGGGGGGGGGGGGGGTTGGCCTCGCCTATAACGAAAAGAGCGTAGCTGTAGCAAAACACCGTTTCTTGGCTGTCATTAGTTGGAGAGGTGATTGTGAAGTGGTCATTGAAAAATTGTTTCTCCATGCCATAATAGTATTTGAATCGACAATATTTGTTTATGTTTGAAAAACAAATATTCAACTAAAAATCACTCCCGTCTCAAAAAAAAAAAAATCTCGAGATGGCAATTTCTGTTTCTGTTTCAATTTTCAAACGATAACGAGCATGGATGCCGGCGTTTGCGACCTGCTCAACAAGCGTAGCGTATAATTTTCATCAATACGAGTTGCTCTGCGTTCCCCGCAGTGTTTAGAGGAAGATCTGCTCAACCGAGCTAGCTTGCAGCAAACAACCGTCGCAAGTACGGGCCTTCGGAAGCCCTGTGCAGGTGCTTGTGCACACGCAGAGAGAGAGAGGTCAGGTGACGAAAGAGAGGCGGCTGATTGGTCAGTCGACCGCCTAGTTCCCACCGCACCATCAGCCCACAAGCTGAACGGAGTATAAGCTGCCTTCACGCGCGTGTGCTTCGCTTACACGGCGGCGCCCTAGTTCACGCCAGACGACGCCGGACGCAATTTATTTGAAAACACTCTTTTTTCTACTTACGCTTCGGCTGAAAAAGTATGGTTAGCGTCAGTTCAGCGGCTTAGCCTCTATTTTTTTTTTAGTTTATTCCTCCCTGCGCGGTGAAGCTTTAGAGCCTTCACTTTTTCGCGCTGCTCCCTCCTGCCACGCAATATCCCTAGTAATGAAGAACCAGTTTAAGGCTGCATAATTCGAGAGGGTCCTCTATAGTCAGCCGCCTCGGTGACTCCGACGCAAAGCGCCGACCTACAGATCCCCAGTTGGCGGGTTTCAATCCCCCAGCCAACGTGCCCACTATCTGACGGAAGCTTATTGCGGAAGAGGCGCCGTGTATGCGAGATTTCCGTGGCGCGTCAAGAGATTCCCGTGTGGTCGAGAACAACCCTCAGTCCTCTGCTGGCGCATTTTTCGTTGGCTTGTCACCTGAAACTTCAAATATCTGACTTTGGAATTTAGTCCTGTACAGGGTACAGCCAGTCTCGGGCGTCTCGTTGGATTATACTCGGCGACAACTTTTCTTCGCCATGCAGTGGAAGGTACAGGCACGCGTTCCCTTTCCCATTTTGGGCGCTGAATAAAGCTGTGCGCGGGCTCTCCTCCTCTCCCCGGAAATGCTAAGAAAAGTTGTCCCGCAGTACAGTCAGTAAATACTCCAAAGAACAAAGTAAGCAGCGGGAAGATATTAATTCACACCCCGGGTTTTTTTTTGGCTGTCGGGGACCGCAGACATAAGACGTTTTCTTGAAAAAGACTGCGAGCTCGAGTCGACTCTATCTGTTTATTGCGCAAGATTTATTACGAGCTTATTTTTTTTTCGGCAAAATGTCGAGAGAAAATTCACGCTTAATCAATCAATGCCATTAATAAATGCGTAGCAATTTATGGCTCCCACGTGCATGCGACTATTTCAACTCGAAGGGAAAACTGAAGCACAGTTCAAGCTCGAGTTTAGCCGTGTCATTCTGTAGCGAACATATATTGACGACGTATATTAGTTCACAGTTTATTGAACCGATATGATCACAATTATCCCGTACATTATTTCAGTAGCATTTGTCTATTTCCTGTAACACCTGCTACTGTTCATGCAACGCACGCGAGATTTGTGAAGTGGAGCAGTCGGTGAATGTTCACTTCACAAATCTCTCGTTGGCTCTGTACGCCTTTAGTAACGTGAATCTATGCTGCCACAGCGCGAGTAATTGAGGTTCACTTTTTGAAGGAGCTCGAAGGCGACGTAAAATGTTGAGGATGTTTTTTTCGCAGCCGCAGCCCGAACTTTAGTCTCACCATTTCCTCAAGGACGTCCAGCATCATCTTGTTTCTCAGTTGGGCTCTGGTTATTGCAACTCGAAAGACAGGAGCTTACCATTCGCGTTTGATAAGAGAAGTGGCAGGATTTTCAGAGCACCCTCTGCGAGGTACGAAAAGGGACACACGCCAGAAACTCCCTTGCAAGAGGGCGCTCCGTGGCAGACGTTTAGGTAGGTTTTATGATGTAAGGTGCTAGAAACTTGATGCATGGTGACGGATTTTTGATTCTAGCTCATGAGAAGAACATCCAGAAAAGTAAGGTGGTAGTCGAATTATGTCTGCGCGTCTGTTGGCGTTCCCCGTGTTTTCTAGGTTTATGACAGTGAGCCTTCGTAGTGCGGAGGACGAAGCATTTGGCAGCTGTTGTTGAATCATTAGCCTAATGTAGCCAAAGAGAAGACAAAGAGGCCAGGGAGCTTCTTTGTTTTGGCCGCTAGGTACACTCGAAAGTAGTTAATTTTGGCGCAAACTAGCCACTAACGGCAACACTGAGAGTCGCACTACGCTTTCTCAAAGTGTCTCTATACGGTGAGCAACTGAGGTGGAGGAGCAGATGAAAAGGAGCGGTGGCGTAAGAGCTCAGCCGTGGTCTGATTGGAAGAATAGTGGGTAGAGGCGGAGGCTGGCTGAGTTGGTCCCCCCACTGTCTCCTCACCAATCAGAGCGAACAATGGTGTCGCCTGCTTCGCGCACAGAGTCTGACGTACGAACGCCAAACGCCGGTGTTCGGCAGTGCGTAGTTCATTTGTCCGGTGAGAGAAAATGCTATACATTTCCCCAACACCTAATATTTTTGCGCCTAAAGATATTTCCGACCTCGCCATTCGTTGAGTTTCCTTCGTGAATCGCTGCGAATAACTCGCTGGGTGCTTTACAAAAAAACAAAACAAAAAAAGCTGACACACGGACGCTTTGAACACACCACAAACACGCTAGGGTAGCGCGCTGTTAACCAGCAAGCCAGCATGTATCCACACCAGATGACGGGCACCGCGTAGGTGCAGCAAGGATGAGGGGAACCGCCTGCGTCTGAGCCGATAGCAGCGCCACCGCAGCGTAGACAGCCTGTATTTCAGAGTTCCCAACTGCCCGATTGAGGTCACGCGGTTTCTGGGCCGCATTTGCAAACGAGCTGCGACCCCCTCGCACCTAAAAACCGCCGATGGTCTGCGAACGTCCCCGCCTTTCCGCTCGCTTTCTTCCTCGCCAAGCGAAAACGCAGCGGATGCGTACCTGTGACCAATCTCCGCAGCAGCAGGCGTCCACCATTAAATTGCAGACGCTTTCCGTGGTGTCAGATGGACCCTCTATGAAATCCAGGCTCTCTACCGTAGCGCCCTGACGTCAAAGACGCGTGATGGTGCATATAATGCCCGCGTACGTCAAAATGCTCATTTTTCGAAGGGAGGAGCGTGTCTCAACTGTGTCTGGTTCTTTTGACAGGTGAACGTGGACTGGGAGCTGAGCGAAACGCTGTGCGACTTCTACATTGCCGTCGACGTCACCTGCAGCACCGCTTCTATTTTCAATTTGGTCGCCATCAGCATCGACAGGTAAGAAGACGGCCACTTGGGCACCCCTGCGCCCGTTCAAGCGGTCGCGACTAAAATTTTTCACGGGACATTGAAACGCGAGTTTACGCACTTTAAGGGGGCCGTGCGACGATATTCGATAGTAATGTGCCTCACTGTACACAAGCTTACGGGCGCCAGTGGGACCAAAGTAGTAACCGACTTTGAGTGGAGTTGATATCACGAGGGCACCGCAGTATTTGGTGCCTCACTTTACCTGTTGCGGTGTATTTAGCACTTGCTTTTCAGTAACGCACATTGATCGGGTAATAAGATTTTCCTTCGGAGAAGTATACCTGTAATACGTTTGTAAGGACCTGCGCGCATTGTAAAGGGTGGTACAAATAACAAAAATATGCGAAATGTAAAGAGGAAAACCGGAAGAGCGTAGGAGTTCGCCGATAGTGGGCGGCTTGTTTGCAAACAAGCCATACGTGAATACTCGCGTGCAACGCCACTGACCAAGCAGCTTCTCTGTCGCCGCGTAATTTCAGAGAGGAAAGCGGACATTTTCTTTCGGTTTCTCCTTCGCAAAACTTAATGACGAAGTTGCGAGCACCGCATTGTTTAGCGTTGTCAATAATATTCAATCCCCAAGATTTCTGCAGGATTTCACCATCAAGCTTTGCAATCTCCGCGGTGACGGTGTTTAAAGGCGGCTCGTACAGCGGACACGAGCGCCCTGTGAGCATTCGATTTCGGCTCGTGACAACCGATGCCTCGACATGCATTGGAGTGGTGGCATGTGCCCAAAAGCTGCGATGACTAGAATGGCCGAACCTAAAAAATAAGGAACTCAGCCCGCTCCTTGTGTTTTGCTCGCCGTGGATGTAATAAACGTTGGTGGCATTTGTAACACAACTTTGTGTGAAGGCTCGAATTCTCCTGCCCTAACGTGACCGCTAGAGCCGATCGAGTCGAGCCGGTTGCTTTGATATGGAGCTGATGTGAAGGCAGAGCGTGAATATACCGTCGTAAAAACAAGTTTTTATTGCAACACACAAGTTTTATTCCCAAGACTTCCTTGACGAGGCATCTGCATTGCTGTGATTTTCTTTGTGTTTTATTTCTGAGGCGCGTCCGCTTTGACCTCGAGCGGCCCTGCCGTCTCCCGTGACGAGGCATCTGCGTTGATATGCTTTTTTGTGTTTTATGTTTGGGGCCCGTCCGCTTCGACCTCGAGCCTCCTCTCCGACTTCCGTGACGAGGTATCTGCATTGCAGTGCTTTTCTTTGTGTTTTATTTCTGAGGCGCGCCCACTTTGAACTCGAGCGGCCCTGCCGTCTCCCGTGACGAGGCATCTGCGTTGATATGCTTTTTTGTGTTTTATGTTTGGGGCCCGTCCGCTTCGACCTCGAGCCTCCTCTCCGACTTCCGTGACGAGGTATCTGCATTGCAGTGCCCTATTGGAAAACCCCAATATAAACAGTGTATTATGGATATTGGTAAACAATATTTTTTTATTGTATTGCAATACAATATAGACAGTGTATTGGAAAACATTACATTTATTGTATTGTAGTACAATAAGGATTTGTTATGGGATTCCAATATCCATAATACGCTGAAAATATTGGAATACAATACCGTATAAATCCTTATTGGATCCCCATGTGTCGTATGGCGATCCAATAAGGGTTTACGATTCCAATATACTCAGCGTATTATGGATATTGGAATCCAATATATTATATCGGCTACCAATAAAACTATATGCGAGTTGTAATATCACGTTCAGCACGACATTTCTTTGCAATGCAGTCTCTTCTTGTGTGTATTTCTGAGTGATAAAATAAAAAGTGTTCTTGTTGTCAAATTATGAATAAAGAAGCAAAACACTGGGCTTATCCATACCAAATATATTTAACATATTCCTGAACCGGAGGATCTGGCATTTACTGCAAAAGAAAGTTAATTGTTTAGGACCCTCATTCAAAAACTTGCTGTTTGAAAACAGAATGTGAAATCCTCACCTTTTAATGAAAGCAGCACCTGCTAGCTGTAGCCATATAGAAACTGCAAAATAAAAATTTGTGATTAGTTCGCAACAAGTAGCAATCCTTCACTAAGCCGGTTAGATTAAAAATTATGTCTGCGTTTGATTGTGGAAAAATAAGCTTCCATTCCACCGCCACGGATTATTCTGAGCTCCGTCAATTAAATAAACCTATCGGCTCGTCTGGCTTCACAGTTCCTGCTTTGCACCTAACTAAAGTATCTGGAATGCTCACCTTTGAGGAAAAACAAACTGGTGCTTGCTTGCTTGTAGGCCATGGAAACTGGAAGAGAGATTTGCGATTAGTTGCGTTCAAGTCGAAATTACATTGAGTAGCCCCGTAAAGTACACTAAGTCGAAAAGATTAAAACAATTACATGCGCAGGACATAGATAACCTCTTGCAACGTAACTGGGCATACGTCAATGTCGCTCGTGTGTATTACAGAAAAATAAGCTTCAATGCACGAGCCCCCAGTCGTTCCGAGCTCTGTCAATTAAAAATGCTGTACCGGTCGTCTGGCTTCAGTATTCCTGCTTCGGGAATCTGGAATTCTCACCTCTGAGGAGAAGCAAACTGGGACCTGCTGGCTCTTAAGCCTTGGAAACTGTCAGAAAGATTTGCGATTAGCTGCGTCCAAGTACCAATTTCTTTGACCAGCCACCTACAGCACACTAAGCCAGATAAAATCAAAATTACATGTGCGTGACATAATATGCTTCTTGTGACAAAACTGGGCACATGTTTTGTCGCCTACAGCAACACTGAAGCCAGACAGACAAGCGATATGGCATATTTAATTGACGGAGCTCAGAACGACTGGGGACGCTTTCACTGAAGCTTGTTTTGCTACAATACACGCGTGTATTGCAGCAAAACAAGCTTCAGTGAAAGCGTCCCCAGTCGTTCTAAGTTCCGTCAATTAAATATGCCGTACCGCTTGTTTGGCTTCAGTATTGCTGCTTCAGAGCAAACTAAAAAATCTGGAATCCTCACCTTTGAACGAGAGCGAACTGGCACCTGCTGGCTTGTGGGCCGTGGAAGCTGCAAGAGAGATGTTTGATTAGTTACGTACAAGTAACAATTTTTTTCGAGTAGCTGCCGACAGCACATTCAAATTACATGCACGGGACATAGATGCCTCATGCGACGGACCCCCTTCATCCTTGTTTTCCATTAACTCTGCTCACCTTCACCACCCGCCTCCAATTTCTGCGCTACTTCTTTAATCTCGATTCCCTGGTTCCCAAAGGCCATGCCATGGCTTGTGCCAGTCATAGGTCTGTCAGCTCTGCAACTGGCGCCATTGTGGCAAAGACGCCAAAGCACCTGGCGCTTGATGTGCTCTTTTAATATTTTGAGCATTGCTGAAAACCGGGGGGTGGGTGTCTGGTATGCCCTTTGATTAGTTGCGGATCGTTTCGAATCAGAGGGTAGGCGCATCTGCGATCTGAGCGCATGCTCGGTATTTAACAATAGTTGAAATTGAACTCTGCAGGAATCTTCAATCATAACAAACAGAATGTGCATGCCAAAAGGCTTAGCAATCGAAACACTCACCATCTATCTATTTTCGTTTCTTGTCCGCAAGAAGCTGTCGTATATGTAGCCTCCCTTGCTTAAGCCGCTCCTCCCTAGTGTCCCGGCTGGGTCTCGTCCTGATGAATCGTCGGTGCAGTCAACATCAGATTAGACCTTTTGAGATAGAACCATATACTTGCTGGGATGAAGTACACCCAAACGAATTTTAGCCATGTCATTCATAGGGAGTTTTAAAATGAAAGGCCTGACGTAAAATGAGACGTCAATACTGACGCACCCCTTTTGCGAGCCTAAAATTTTGAAGGCCTTGTCCCCTTGCTAGGGGGACAAGGCACATGAATCCCGGCATGTGGATGAAATTTTTACCTTAAGATCCTGACTCAATGCCCATCCCCGAATATTCGACCACCACACTTTTAGGAAAAGACAACTTTTTAGAAAACACCAAGTCATCGACCACCCCTACAAAAGTCTGAACCAATCCTACTCGTACCATGGCTTGTTTGCTCCGTGCCGCCTTGAGGTAATTCGGGCTGACAATTTTTTTTTCAATGGAACCCAGATTCTTAGTTTTGGTTTCACTTGTAGAGGCAGGCGGATACTTTTGTAAAGCTTCCTCCCTATGCGCGTTTGAGTCAACATTTTTGCAATGGCCAACCCTCGGGCTGTGATTTTTGCGCTCCTTGACAAATGCTGAAACTCATATAGCAGTGATGTGATTGGCCTAAGCCATTTTGGAGCAGAAAAAGTGGCCTTTGGCGCAGCCAAAACAGTGTTTTGGAGCAGCAAAAGTAGCTTTTAAAGCAGATATTCTAATAAAAATAAAAATATTTGTTCTAAATGCTGGACACGCGAAGAGAATCATGCTCGCCGAAATAAACCAATTATGGTGAAGTTCGGCCACCTGGGAGTCTTTCAAGATGTAACTGAAATGCCAATGACATGACACATTTCTTTTTGCTTTTCGAAACATTCTGCAAGGCGGGAGCAAGCTTTGCTTTAGCTTAGGGTAGTAATGAATGTCCAATTTCAATGTCTCCAAAGAAATATTGAGACATCCCACAAGTGTACAGTGCTGTAGGCATTGCCAAGCAATTCCGAAAAACTGCTTGCCACCGTTTTACTGGTTGCCGACGTGCCATATTTTCGTCAAAACTAATTAAATGTAAAACAATGAATTGCAAGCGTCCCGGCTGGCGCCTCTGTTGTGCAATTATGTTCGCATCGTTGGTTCACATGCACGTGAGGGCAACTCCTGCAGGCTTGCAGGTCACATGCTTCGTCGCGCGAGCGAAACGGCTCTTCGATCGAAACCGAAACCATGCCTCTCCGCTCTGCCGCCAACTGGTTGCCAAAAGTCTATGCAAAATGTAACTGCCCAGCATGCGACAAAAAAGAGTCCAGCGCCGCGTGCTTGCAAGGCCGGCAGGTGAGGTACGAGATA